TTTAGCTTTTTAGCCTTTTTATTCCGTTTTTAATCTTGTCATGCGCATTTGAACATTTTATGAAATTTGCGCATTATAAATGTTATTATTATTATTATTCAAAGATAATTCTGGTTTTTTTTTTTTCAGTTTTCTTCATCAAATTGCAGAAATTCATGAATTTGTACATTACATAAGCATTCTGGCTTGATTTTGTATTAATCTCCGCTATTTCTTGGCTTTTTAAGAAAATAGTAAAATCCTAGATGGCGGATCCAAGATGTGGATCAAATGACAAATGACGTCATTTGACGTCGTAACCAACTCTGAACAGTGGTATCATCTTGTAGAGCAAGCGCAGGCTTATCTAACTGATGTAAATTTATTTCGCTGCATCTTAACAGAACGAAAACCCTGAGGAGGGGTTCCATCAATCCCTCCCACCACCTCTTGTACCACGGTGGGGGTATGAGTTAGCTTATACGTCCGAGGATTAAAGAGGCGATTTATACCATGGACCGCAAAACAGACATCTCAAAAGAGCGGAACTCGAATGACCTAACATAGTCTAAGCTCCCGTAAGCGACCACCTCCCGTAAGAGACCACCTAGGCTCTACATTGTTGGTTGTTACTTACGGGAGGTTTGACTGTATCTATTAAACGCATAGATTTCTTACATTTTTTTGTACGACGCAGAAAAATGGTAGAGAAGTTCATCTATCAAAAGTCACCGAACGCCTAGCCTGCGTAAACAGCTGTCCTAATTCTTCGCTCTCGACCCGAGAAACACCATTCGGGTCGAGAGCGAAGAAGGACGGCTGTTTTCGCAGGCTACCGAACACTTCAGATCGTTAAATCCACGCAAAGCTATAGCAGAGGCTAGTGGACATTACCACTACTATCATCTCATTTTATTACTTAGGGCGCGCTCGTTCATGACATGATACATGAAGCCGCAGGATCTCTTTTTTGCGCCTTGTCTTGTCAGCTTGTGGTTTAGCAGATAACGGAGAAAAGCCGAGAAACGTAGTGGTAACTATATTAGTCTAAAATTCTTCTAATGATAACTGTTTTCATTCTGGAATGTTCCTAAGACCTTTAAGGTCTTTAAGGTCTGTAACTTATGTATGTTTTACAGCCGATCAATATTTATTGTTACAGTATGAGTGAATTAATTGTAACTGAATAATTTCACCTTTATCAAGGTCATTCAGGTGAGCGTAGATCTTGTTGGGAGGAAGTGAGTACGTCTTGTAAATATTTTCTGTTTCAGTCACTTTCATTTCTCTTATTTCTGACTGCTTGCCAAATTGTCTGACTGACGATTCTGGAGATTCCACGTGACCTACTGTTCTGTCCTTTATCAAGCCTGCCATTGTAAGTACCTGCAGAATGAAGTTTAGGCACGTATCGTAAGGGTTCGTGACCAAGGTTTGTGGACCCAAGATAGCCTCATGGCTTGTCACGCATTCCTAGTAGGAGGAAAGATTGCATGACTAGCCCAAAGAAAAGGTTTTTAATATATGTTTTCATATGAGGTGAGGGATCTGTACTCTACATCTTCGTACCATTCTCCAAAATGAAATGCCAGCGAAAAGTCTAATGTATGCAATGTGAATGAGATATCGATGACGCCAACTATTGTTATAAATGTGCTCACTACCATATTGCAACTGAATAATGGCTAATGAAATTAAAACAAAGAGTCCTTTAGTTTCATTACCTGAGATTGTAAATAACAAAAACAGAGTTTGTAAAAAAATATTTTCCCTCTAAAGTGGGATCAATATGAAGCACGAAACATCAGATTTGTTTCACTCGGTGAGAAAATAAGCTTGTGATCCGAAAATGCTGTTACGAATCTATGATTAGCAGGAGTACCTGAAACCTAATGAATTAGATAAAGTTTTTTTTTTTTTTCGGCCGTTTGTAACCGCACAGGGAAATGTTTACAACATCCCCCCTTCCCCCGTCCAACCGCCCTACCCAAAAAGGGAGCTTGCTGGCATATAGCCTGACTGCTCTTAAAGTGATTCCTCACATTTGCATTGCGCATCCTTGCTGCGCATAATTTATGGCGTCACAAGCACGGGCTCGTGCACGCGCACATTGAAAACATGGCGGATTTGCCTTGATATTGAGTTCTGTCAGTTGAAAAATGGCTATCAGTAGCTCACTAACGAGCTCGGGCGCCCCAATTTTTTTTCAGTCGTTTTAATCAACTAATCATTAGCTTTGCTTGAGAAAAGACTGATCTGATTTCTACTGCTGAAAATTGAAGAAATAAGGAAAATTGCGGCTGCACTGTAGTCTTTTCTATTTGCAGTTTGTTAGCCGTGGCAAGCAATTTGGTTCCAATATTTTAACAAGGATTCAGCTGTCTGTCAAAATCAAACTTAAAAAGTTTATTTGTGTCCGACACAAGTAGTATTGACTGTAGTTTGAGGCGTGTTTTCATGAGTCTGGGCTCACAAAGATTTAACAATAACTTGGAATGCGTTCTTGTAATAAGCATTAAGTAATGCTAAAATGGGACATTTTCAATGCCTCACTGCTCCTTAACGAGCATGGGCACCCCCTTTTTATTTTATAAATAAAGTTCTCATATGATAAATATTCAGTGGACAAAATCTATTGACAGTTTTATTTCGGGGGAATTACCTTAAAGCTTCGTCAACTCGACTGTTTACGGCGGAACTACATGACGTATAAATTTCCCTCCTTTCAGTTCAGATCCAATAAAAAATACTTCTACTGGCCGCGTAAACACTTTTCAAACAACAACAGAGACAGCCGCAGAATATATTCTGGTAAGCTCGAGTAATATTGACGATCTTCACGGTATTCTCCCAAGAGCTGTGAAAAGTTGTAACGGTGTGCTTGTCAGCCAATGTCGAAGCTCCATTTCAGCTCATTTCCGTTTCTCAGCCAGTTTCGGGGTAGAGCCCTAGGATCGGGGAAACCCCTTCATTGAATGCAACAGCACTTTCGCTACGTACGGCGATAAGTAGCAGATATCTCGTTCTCACACAGGTATCTCAAGTTGGACGCGTGCAGTTTATTATATGACATTGCGTAACAGCATAAATATGATAGTTTGTATGGGAATGTAACGATCTTATTTGACAGTTCAAAACATTGAAAAGAAATTGAATAACATCGACTTACTTCGACTCTTTGGTGTGCTACTTTTGTCTCCATGCCATTATGGGGCCATTTCAAAGCGATTTCAACGAGTTTCAGTTTCAGTTTTCCTCTCTATGAATAGATTCACAGTTTCTTTTTCATATTTTGAACTGTCACATACGATCGATACATTCTCATACAAACTCTTATATTTACACTGTTACGCAGTGTCATATAATAAAGTCCACGGCTCCCATTCACCCAAGGAACTTGGAATACCTGTGGTTCTCAGAGCCTCACTGCTCGATTTAACATGCCGAATTTAGTAAATTTTCGAAGTTTCAAACGAATACGATGTAAACTCGTCGAATTATGCCCGACAATATGGGACCTCTAATTGCCAATGCATGTGAGAGGGGCATCAAATTGCGAAGTTTCGGCGGTCAAGTATTACCACGAGTTTGCAACGGATTCTTATGAAACTTCGCATACTCACTAAATTCGGCATAACAAATAGCCTGTGTCGAGGATGGGGCGAAGAGAAAGCGGGACGAAAAAGGATAGCCAGTTCCTTTTTGGTCCTTCCAGCCGGAGCCTGTTCACAGGCTACATAATAAACTGATCTAAGGAGGTGTCTTTTTTTATTATTGCGTGACATCGTCGAAGTTGTCCATTTGCTATTTCTCAATATCAAGGCATGCCCTATTTAAATCTATTCCTATATGTATATTCCTATATGCAAAACCAGCGAAAGTCACTAACCCATTTTTGGCCAGACGGATTATCCGTCCATGTTGCTTAGTCTAAAACGGCCAATATCGATCACACCCGCTTATATCAGGAAGTTTAAGTTTACAGTTAGGAATATTTATCAACAATACTGAGTGCCAATCCGAAACAATAACTTACCGGGAAGCTAAGTCAGGCGGAAATCAAAACAAATCAAGACAAACATATAGGACGATTGCAGTGGAGCTATGGAGAAGTTGAGTGTCAGCCTGTGCAGAGAGTGTTCCTTTTTCTTAAAGTATTCTGACTTTTATACCGTACATCAGTATCCCTATTCTGAAAGTTGTAAACCCATCGAGTTTTCCCGAATCTGCATAGAAAACGAAAGTAATTGCTGTTTGCTTTCGATTAGTTTTGGTTATCAGTTTATGTTATCATTTCCCTTTTCGAACCATTTTCTCTTATGTAATGTGATTTCTATCCTGGCGATGTTATGCCTCCATTCGTGTTTGTTTTCCCGAATCAGCATGGAAAATGAAAGCCGATTGCTGCCGTTAATGTTTCGCTTTCGATTAGTTTTGGTAAGCAGTCCTTGTTTTCATGATCATTTCCCTTTTCGACTCATTTTATCTTATCTAATGTGAAATCAACCATGGCGATGTCGTCCATGTTCATGTTTTAGTTTTCCCGAATCAGCATGGAAAACGAAAGCCGATTGCTGCCGTTAAATGTTTCGCTTTCTATATTAGTTTTAGTTATCAATTCGATCCATTGTATCGTATCTAATATGATCAATCATGACGAATTCATGCCACTGTTCATGTTGTAAACCGTGATATAGTGCAATTTTTAAACCAACTTTTACCCCATAACGAACTGTGTAGGAAAAAAAAAAAATTCCGCCTGTAAAGTTCCTTCGGGGTTCAAAAAAATCGTTCGGCTGTAAAAAACCCGATTCGCTCAAAAACATTTTTTTGTGTCTTCGTCTGATCGGAATGCGGCGTGTACATGGAAGGCTGCAAAACAGAAGCGCATCGGAATGCAATGTGTAAGGTAACAGATGTAAGATGTAAGTCGGGCTACTAGCTACGAGCGTTGATCATTTGCGGTGCGCAGCGATTCTAAAAATAGCATGTACAGATGTATGTCTGAAAAAAATATCATTAAACCGTAATCATCACGAAAACATTGCTTATTTTAGCTGACCGATAGATGAAAGTGAAAGCTACGGCAATCCGGCGTAGTGAAGTTGATTTGAGTTGTGACGTCACTTACGCCGGTGTTTGAGGAGATTGGGGTCACAGTTTTCTCTCACCCTGTTCACTGCGTTTGTATCATATGTACTACAGTCTGCACTTCTCTTAGCCTGCGTAGCAGGCGTATAAAGGGGATGGGGTGGAGGAGGAGAAGAGATTTCGAGGACATTTCGCACTCCTTCGTTTTTTTCCCCGAATCCTCTTCCTTCTCCCCCACCCCCCTCCCCTTTATACGCCTGCTACGCAGGCTATACTTCTCTGAGTTCATAATAATCTTGTCACCGAGTGAGTGTTTATAATAACCTGGAAACACTGTAATAAGCTCGCAATGGATGGTACTTGTAATAGTACACATGTACCTGAGGGTTGGCTTCTACCATATATATTCGTCTCTTGCATGAGAATCAAATATTTTATAACTCCCATTATCAGTATGATAGATATTGACACCAATACATTATATTGTCAGAACAAATGAAGAATAGTTTTGCGACAAGAGTGATTCAAAAGCCCTGTCTTTAGTCATAATGAACTGATATCCCTCAATTATCGAATCACAGTGGTGTCGATTACCAGTGCAGTTTTCACTGTAATTAAGCTGGTAAATTAATATTTTTCTCAGACATAGCGAACTCCAATCATTGACGATAATTCTATTTGTATTGAATACACCTGCCCTGAACATTGTGACGGTGTTGAATACAATAATTGATTACCATCTCCATATTTTGTACCAGGTCATTACAGCTATTTATTATATGGCTTTGGCTTGTGGTCGATATAACGCGCGCTCTGATCGGCTAAGAGCGAGTCNTATTTGATACCACACAAACACTCCTGCACAACGTGCCCATGTAACATACATACGTAAGCGACAAAGCTACTGAAAAATAACAGCTGATAATGCACTCTGTTTGAGAAAAAACAAAATGTAATAATTATGACAGAGGTCACATATATGACAATTACGTTTCTCTTCACTCTGATGAAAGCCACTTTTGCCGTCAAACATCGCATCTTTGTTGTAGTTCCTGAGTTTCATCACGATACACCTTGTCTTTATCAGCACTTAAAACTTTCGTAAATTCTGAAGTAACACTCTGTCCACATTTTCTGTTCCTTGATAACTCATATAAGTCATTTGATTTCTGGTTCAGTTGGTTTCTAGTAAAACCTTCGCTAAGTCATTCGATTCTCTCGCTATTTTGAGTTCGCGGAACGACCCGTTTGGAAATATACGCTCATTGACTACGCCATCTTTTAGAGTGGATGTACCGTTTCAAAACAAACAAAAAAACAAAAACAAAAACAAAAACAAAAAAATCAAAGGGCTCTTAAAGCCAGTTCTGAAAATTTAGTCGCCAGTACTCAATGTTTGGTCGCACTGGCGACCAGTCAGTGAGTCGCAATTTCGAGGCCTGGATTACTTACCAATACGAAAGCAAATATGTGTTTCGCCAATATGGCTGCCTCGTTGATTCCTCTTGGCCGCGTGTTTTAAAATAACCCGTTTAGGGTCCCCTAAGTGTGAACATTCGGCCTCCCAATCCATATTGCGATTTTCAGAGGTTTAGAAATTCGGACTTGAGGTTAAAATTTGTTTATTACACCATACAAAACATTTTTTTGTTCTTTGCACTTGTTTATTGCAGCGAAATCTAAGTTTATTTGGACTTTTATTAAGTCGAAGCGGGGAGGGGTGGTGAGGACGATTTCACTTCCGTCTACGGTCCACAATTTCCGTCCACAAATTTCTGTCTTCCGTCGACATTTGATCCCTCACGATACTCATTCATTGCTTGCGCCTGCGCGCGCATGAATAAACTAAAAACAGAAGCCTACGCAATAAAGTTGCTACCCTTAATTTGAGCGGATATAATCTCCCTTCTTACTTATGTCAGTACGGATTTCTTTTTTGGTGTCCTCAGACCGTTTGAAAAAAAAAATTATTGTTCCTTGAGTGAAGTCAAAATGTTGGCCTGGGCACCTCAAGGTCGCTCTCGTTTCATAACTGATGGGACTCTGGTTTATAATTAACAATTATTCCACGAGCGCGAGTTGGATAAGGGATGGTATAAGCATCTCAAAGTCATATCCAACAAGCGCGAGTGGAATAATTGTTTTGTTTAAAACGCCCCCAAAATTTAGAAAACTGAAATAATATAAAATAGTAACGCCCCAAAAAGTTACGCACACACTTACCATATTTGTACAGCATGGTATAAATAAACAATAGCCTCCATTTGGCGCGAAAATATGCTCGGATATTTGTCAGCAGAAAACTGTGAGCTTTGAGGAACAGATAATGTCCAAGGACAAATATCCAAGCATATTTTCAAAGTCAAAAGGAGGCTATTGTGTTTATTATCCTTCAAATATTTTTCGCAACACGCGCAGTTTTGAAAAGTGGGGAATATTCTAGGATATTCCCCAGCTGAAACTGGGGAATATTCTAGGATATTCCCCAGCTGAAACTGGGGAATATTCGGTCAGGTGACGCGTTTAGACCAATCTCGCGCGAGCGAAAATATTTGATAGATTATAATGGCTCATAACCCATGATGGCTAAGCCAATGAAAGTTCTTGAATTGAGTTCTTGAATGATCCAGTTTTTAATAATTACTTTTCTGATATGACCCATACGGCCCCGTACGCTGTTTCCCTATAAACCGTAAGAAAGGTCCCGTATAAGGGCAATAAGCGTCGAATTGATAGAGCCGGAAAACTGAGTACTGCCCTAGTACTAGGAACATGTACAGTCAGGCAAAAACGATGCGAGTTAAATCAATGGCAGAAAAAACTTTTTTCTGCAAAATTTTGTCTTCTAGAAAACGACTGTTGAAAGTAAACATTGGCGAATTTTACTATTCTGGCGAACTCTCCGATGCAGGACTACTTCAGTTACCAACTTACTGCGAGAACACAAATGTAGAGCAAAAAAATTGTTCATATGATCTATAAAGTGCTTATTGAGTGAGAGAGGTCAAGCCGGACAGGAAAATATTTGGCTTTTGGTTCTGACCTCGAGCAAAATATTTGCTACCCCAACGTAAAACCAGAATATATATTTCGGCGAAAAAAAAGCGGGACCCTGTGTTTTTCACACAGATCCTGCGTTTTTTAAACAGACCCCGCGTTTTCCACGCAAGCCCCGTGTTTTCCACAGACCACGGGACCCCGCCCAGCGTTTTCAATCTACCCAAGTCTCCCAGGGGTTTGGAGGAACAAGGGAGCATGAAGTCTAAACCTGTAGACTGAATAAGACTAGAAAGTGATCGTGTTCTCTTGACTGCTACTGCGGCGGTTTATCGCTATGGGGAGGAGACAGTCAAACTGAAAAAGTTTGGAGGATCAAGGAAGGACAAACAATATTGAGATAAAAGACATAAAAGGCACTTTAATATCTCGACACATTGTATCTGCATCATGTCAAGAATATTTATCCATTTACCATCAGGCCATGGAAGCAAAATCAGTCGTTTTCTATTTCTTTCATAATAAAACCAACAATTTGCAATCCGTACGTCATAACCATGTCTAACTCCCGGGTCTGATTGTCTACATACCCTTAAAGCAAGACCACTACACAAGGTAGACGATGAAAACCTTATAAATCAATATATGTTGTACTAGAATGTTCTATTCGATCACTTTACTGATCCAAAATACCAATCACAGCACGCATCATCCCAAAGAACAGTGAAAAAACGACAGGCGACAGGCCCTCGCTCGCGGCATTGTCAGCTGACACGGGAGCTGAAGTGGTTTCAGGGCAACTTGACTTATTAGGCGGCAGGGGCGCGGTGATTTCCGGTATGGGCACCATCAGGATAGGATTCTTTGTGTCCTGTAAACAACAGCATAAAATACCACAATTGTCAACTATACTTGAATAAAACAAAAGAATGCCTGGAGAAGAGCAAGTAGAAATTTTAAAAGGTCTTTACTTCGGTAAATTGCCTTCCTGAGTACAAACTCCCCCCTCCTCCCAGAAGAAGAAGAAGCAATTACACCACTATTTAGGGGAATGAAACACAAAATTCAGTAACGCTGGAAATGGAAGAGTTTTGGTCACTTTAATGAACTCAAGTGCGCGAGCGCAGAGCAAGATATGGCATGATCGTGGACTTTCAACTTTGGTGTCGACCTAGTCTTGGTGTCTATTGTGTGTTTACACCCTACAAGGTTTGTCAGGCCTCATAACCATTCTCATATATTATATTCAAGGCCTGAGCATGCAAGGAAACTTTGCTAATACTTAATGGATTAAATTTCTTTTTGCAGGCTTGTAGAACGGATTAAACAAAGAAGTGCTTAGGGTACTCACAGCCACGGTTGTCAAGTTGTAGAGCGAACAAACTGGAAACACCTTTTTAACATCATCTTCGTATTTTCTGAAGTCACTGACCATCCGATCCGTCCAGTCGATCTCCTTTTCGACAAGTGGATTACGTTTTGGAGATGTTAGTTTACATCATTACTTAGGAAAGAAACAAAGCAAGTCATTGTAAGAAGAGGACTAAGCGAAATGCACTAGACTACCTCCCAAGGGGCATTTTAATCCAAAATTTACATTTAAGCTTTCAAAAGTCTAAAGTCTCTTGAAGCTTGTTTGTAAATGTTCTTCCCATTTCTGATAACATTAAGACTTACTCCATGTCTAAATCGCTGTGTTCTTGAAAGGCACGTTGCAGAAGACCTATTGTTTCATCATTCGATCACCAAGTTCGTTTTAATGTTTCAGGGGCTATTAGGGTTAGGGTTAAATCACTCTCTGACAGCTCAGGGAAGATATCTGCCTTGTTTCACACAAGAGCGTGGGTACAATTACGCATTAGTAGCTAGAATATTATTCGCAGCGAAGCACATTTATAAGGTATTGCGCGTGAGTGGCCCTTTATTTGTAGGCAGTTAATAGAGGTCACGTGGTAGGCTCTCGGCCAAAAAAAAGAATGCATCGAATGATAAAAGACATTTATTTGTTACGATTACAACGAATTATTTCCAGTTCCTATTTGGCGAACGAGATTTATGTAATTCCAAGAGAGGATGAAAAAGAGTAAGAGAGCCAGTTATCCGCCATACAATTTAACCCTCTCAAGTTATTTTCAGGGATGGTACTCATTTTTCCAGCTGATGTTACCAGGCGCGTTTGTGGATGTTCTCGAGGAGGATAAAATTTTTTGTCAGTCAAGACGCTCTATCCACCACAGGGAACAGGGGAGTCCTATTTGGCCGTATTTTCGTACAATTGCAGCGCAAATCGATCTGTTGTTGATTCAAATCACTGTACGTGACCGAACTGTAAACATGCGATCGCGTTACGCGTCTGGTGAAACCCTATCCTCACGACGAATGCCGCATACAGCAATCACTGTGGGCTATCACTCGTGGTGACTACTTCGTGCCTCGCACGGAAAGTTCGCTTTCTGGAATCCATTTCAGCGGATAGGATAGGATTTCAACAGACGCGTAACACGATCGCATGTTTACAGTTCGATCACGTACAGTAATCAACAACAGATCGATTCGCGCTACAATTGCTCGTTTTCAGTGTCACGCAATTCAAAATAGATCAAAATAAAAATCAAAACCGGTCAATAGTTAAAGTCCAGAATCTGGGAAATGAAAAAAGGTAAATATGTAAAGACTCTCGCCAAAATTCTGGTCACAGCAATTTTTCTTATGCGAGATATACGGAGAAATTTTTTACCCAAATTTATAGAGATTTGTATGGAGACGCCATGCTGGTGCCCATCCGTATAGGCACCAACATGGCGGCCGGAAACCAACAGAAACATCTGTCACTGAGTTTTGCTACAAAAGCGTGACTTTATCCATCGAGGAACTCTAAAACATTAAAATAATACTTTTTCTAAGACATGAACTGTTCAGATAGCCAAGTGCCCCGAAATAAGTCACTTTTTTAGCCATCATGACAGCTCTCTAGGCCGTCATGTAAATGCCGCGTCACCCAAAAGCAAGAACCCATTCGGAACGAAAATTTGTATGAATATTAGTTTTCAGCTGCTCTTATACATCATTGAAGTAAAATCTCAGGAAGATCAATAGTTTTGTAGTTCGAATTTTAGTGACGTGATGTGAAAACCAGCTATTGTACGGTGAATTTAACTGGAAATACGGTCAAAGAGAACTCCTCTGCTCCCTGTGTATCCACGTGAGAAAAGTTCGTATCACGGGCTTGGTTTTTTATTTTTTATCATCCAGGGATTGTTTTGATCTAAACTTAACTTGAGAAGGATTGCCTTAGGAATGAAGTCTATTTGACGGACCCTACTCCCCTATCTTTCATGCTCTTTTGGTGATACTTGCAAGTACTTGCTGATAGTTTTGTAAGTTGGTTCAAATGCTATACTCTGGCACCGCTTGACACGGGGCGCGCGAGGATAGTAGCACATGAAATCCAAGCACATCTCGTCCCTCGTGGAAATACCTCCCTAAATACACACAGGAATAAGGATGAGCGCAGAAAAAAAGACGATTTGTTGTTTTCAGTTCCTGTTCTCTTGCTTTCGATTTACGAAACAACCGTTTTTCCTATTATTCCAAGTGACCAAATTCGCAGAAAAAAATGAAAACAAACCCTCCATCGTTTCAAGTTTTAAACGCTGTTAACATACTCGTAAACAATTCGTCACCTTTAAAAAGAAGCAATCAGAGAGTTTCACGATGCTATTTCTCTGTTTTTTTCTTAAATATCCTTTTTCGGGTGAAATTATTTTTTTCGATAATCTCAAACCGCTTAGAGTCCATTTGCTGCTTTACCGTAACATCGGTTCACAAATTTTTCGGTCTATGAACTGTCAATAACGACAAAAGAGTTTTCGCCTCAAGTGCCACCCCCTCCAGGAGAGGGGGGCTACCTATAGGCTTTGGAAATTGAAACAGTACGAATTTTGTTATTTTTAGAACAAAATTTCCATGGACAATTAGCATCTAACGCCCTCGACAGGAACACCCTGTGGTAAGAATAAAGGAGGCTCAACCAAACAAACCGAGAAGAACTTTAGCATTAGAACTTAGTTAATCATTTGTGAGACTGCAAAGATTCTAACCTTGATCAGTTTGGTCCGGCCTGTAGAATCGTATTTACATTAATGTATCAGCTGGTCTCCCTAATAAAGAAAAAAGTATAAAACGTAGACTCTTTCGCTTAGTCCGTCGTGCGTGGCACGAAAAAAATGGCCGCGCGAAATCCTGGG